TTAGCTTCATTTGGTATAGAGCTAACAAAACAAATGATGCTCTCTTCAACTTAACTCTTCATCCCTGTCATACTTGCTTTCATTCCCTACTTTGATTTCTTGCTAGAGCTACTAGTCTTGACTAAATTCAGAAAGTGGCAAGAGATACTTTTCCATTTGCTTTAATTAATTTTGAAATTCTAGATGCTTTCTGCTATATTTTCAGGAGTCTACTTAATTCTCTTCCCTCTGATTAACAGTGCAACCATGTCAGATTTCTGTGAACTAATACCAACGCCTGAGATGGGTATTGCGCTCAGAAATGTTAGCATCCAAGATGTGAAGACACACTTCTCCAAGTTTGTTGAGGCCTCAAACTGAGTGTGTCATACTGATGTATCTTGTCACCTGGTAAAGGGGACCGTGTAGTTATGTAGCTCCAGAAAAAGAAGGGATGTGTGCCACATACCCAGTCTTGACTGTTAACGGCAGCATAAGCCTCAGCTGCAGGCTTCACTGCAGGTGACTAAAGCCCAGTGGGAATAATGATTTACTCCATTAAATCTGTTCCTGGAGTTTGTAAATTTAGTCCTTGTTTAACTGGCCAGCCCTTCACCAGTCCCATTGTCTCATCTTAAAGAACAGGAATAGCCTTTATCAGATTGAGTTGATAAAATTATGCTGTGGAATAAATCATATTTCTAAAGTTCATCTATAGACCAGTTAGGGGTACAGAGGTGCATTCCTCCATCTGGACAGATTTTGCCTCAGGAAATACACCTGGAAGATTTTGCATCTATATTTCACTAATCGCAACAGGACCTGTGCAGTACAGCACAAAACGTATTCTCTGTGTTGGCTGGTGTGAAAGATTATAGAGTTGCTGGCCTTTCAGCAAAAAACGTGGAAAGGAAGGATTGCTAAGACTATATAGGAAATTTAGGGCTACTGCAGATTACCACTTTTGTACTAGGGGGACTACAAAATGTTGGCAATTAGAAACCCTTTCGATATGGTTTCAGCGTAGTGGCCACATGTCCTAGTGAACCTTGTAGGTTCAAGAATTTCCATAATACCCCTCTGGTACTGTGCTCTTAAAAAGGAAGAAAAAAGTCCATTGCGAAGATCTTCACTTGCTTGGCAGTAATCAGATTCCAGCATGGAAACTGGCATTTCTCTCTTATCATCCATTCTTGTTCTTGTCTGTGTGCTGCATATCATTGCAACCTAAATGCACCACTCTTTGTATGGTGATATTTTACATATGGCAAGAAAGTTTCATTTTCTTTACAAGAACTGACTGCAGCACAATACCCAGAAGTATTTTCTGTGTGATTATGCATGATGCAATAGATCTCTCCGCATACTCATGTTTTTTTTGTATGAGTGATTTCTAGTTCTCATTCATAAATGTCTGGCTCTCCAAATGATGCCTCTGGCAGATCTGAGTGTAAATATCAATTTATTCACCACTTCCTTTTTTAATATTAACATACTTGGCACAGGTATTTTTCCTTTCTATTTTTTTTTACTTTTTTTCCAGTCAACATTTCTGTTAACTTTATGGCCTTTGAAGAACTTTTTGTAACCCACTGTTGTAATTTTATTAGTCACATAGTTGGCGCAGTTCAGCGCAGCCATTCAGCTTACCTCGAGGGAAGCCATACTACTGAGATTTGAGAAGTGGTTATAATACCGAGCAATACAGAGTTATATTTGAATTGCTAATCGGTCTGCAATGCTTCCTAAAAGGAAATGCATGTGTCTGGAAGTTAATAAACTCCTAACAGCACAGTGCTGCAGTCGACACATCTGAGGGACAGGATGCCATCCAGAGAGACTTGGACAGGCTTGAGAGGGAGCCCATGCGAGCCTCATGAGGTTCAGTGGGTCCAAGTGCAGGGTTCCACATGTGGATCAAGCAAGCCCCGGTATCAGTACAGGCTGGGGGATGGAGAAAGATTGAGAGTAGCCTTGAGGAGAAGGACTTGGGGGTACTGGTGCGTGAAAGATTGGACATGACCCTGTCCAGTGTGTGCTTGCAGCCTAGGAGGCCAATCCTATCTTGGGCTGCATCCAGAGGAGCATGGCCAGCAGGTTGAGGGAGGGGATTCTGCCCTTCAACAATTTCAGGGCCACAGAAATGATCAGATGGGTGGAATGCCTCTCATACGAGGAAAGGCTTAGGGAGCTGGGGTTGTTCAGCCTGGAGAAGAGAAGACTCTGGGGAGACCTTCTTGTGGTCTTTCAGTTCTTAAAAAAGGGATCTGTAAGAAAGATGGGGAGAGACTTTTCAGCAGGGCCTGTTGCGATGGGATGAGGGGTGATGGGTTTAAACTGAAAGAGGGGCATAGAGGCTGGATGTGAGGAAAAAAATCTTTACAGTGAGGGTGGCACAGGCTGCCCAGAGAGGTGGTGGATGCAACCATCCCTGGAGACACTTATGGCCAGGCTGGATGTGGTTCTGGGCAACCAGATCTAGTTGAAGATGTCCCTGCACACTGCAGGAGGTTGGACTAGATGGGCTTTGAAGATCCCTCCCAACCCAAACCATTCTGCGATTCTGTGATTCTATGTTTAAATTTAAGTCAGCTAATAAAACATTAATTTTCTCAAAGATGTTCCTCCACTTACCCCTTAAGATACTGGATTATATTTAACATGGGTAATGTCTATTGTTGTGGTACCAATAAAGATGACATGGCAGAGTGTTTGATTCATGTTGTTTGTCTGAGGAAGCATTTAGAAGTATGTAATGGATTGTCACTGGTAGGGTGGAATGACTGAATTTGAAGAGGTATCTTCCACCATTTACACAGATTTTCATAATTTCAAAGGAAATAAATAAAACAATTTCAGTGCTATTCTGTAACTATTTCAAAAGGACTGCTTTTATCCATGAGATTATTTTTTTTCATTACTTCCTTTATGTGGCTGCTTATGGTCTAGAAACTTGTCACTATGTTTTCTTTTTTGGATGTCAGTGGTATACTTCATTAGAAACAATGAAATGCAGTAACTTGTGTTTCCAGAACTGAACAAGCAAGAAAACATATTTTTATACATTTACATATCTGTAAAAATGGATCATCGCTACCCGTGAGGCCCTTTATACCATGTAAAAGTCAAAGATTCATTGACTTCATTCGGATTAGGACTGAAGCTGATTTACTGGACAGGGAGAGAATAATCACATATTACTTACCAGGTTTAAGTCTAAAATGCTGCTGGTTATGAAAAGTAGTTGATTCTGCCAGTGATACCACTAATGAAATCAAAGCATTGTTTACATAGCAGGCAGATGTAGAGCACTGATATACTTCACAGAGAGGATATTCTTCACCCAAGATGATAAAGGTTTTGTTATTTGAGCGTAGTTTGACGTTCTCTTGTTAATGTGCAATATAGTTTTGGACAAGTACCAAAATTATGTTACATTCTTTTCTGTATGTTTATCTAATCTCATGACTAACCAAGTTACATGTGCATGGGTGAAGAAGTAGTCAAAAGGACGACCAAACATAAAGCATCTGACTTCATAAAAACCCCTGTGTCTTCTTTTTAAGAAGAGCTGTCGGATGTAGTAAGACTCCGAGGAGTTACAGGAGTGAAGTAACTGAAACCCATTTAAAGGTTTTTTTAAGTGATTAAGGCCTTTCAGTGTTAGTTTCATACTTCCTTAGGAAATCAACTTTTCCATGTTTTCTGTGCACTAAAATCATAAGTACAAGAATTGTATCAGAAGGCTTTGCCAGAGAAAATGGTTAAACCAGTAATTTGGTCACATGATATAATATATTTGGGATATAAAGATCTGTTTTAAACTCTATTATAATTTCTTGTAAAATGTCAGCCTCTTATGATGTTGATAATATTTATGACTTCTATGAATCCTCAGAGTCATTTAGAAGTGTAACGTACTAACACTCTCAGTAAGCTAATGAAACAAACACTGTATTCATTTTAGAGACAACAATGGTGACTTGTAACGGGAGAGATTTCAGAAGTGGCTAGCTCACATGAGGCACATTAGAATATTTCTTCCTAAACAGGGGAAAGCAGACACTTAGCCAGATTTTGGCCAGAGTTCCACCTTTCTTTGGTTCCCTGGGGACGTAAAGAGAATTGGTAGCAGCCACAAGACTGCCTTAATTTACAGGCCCAACCAGTTCCTGTAGCTTCAAGCATGACAGGAGTGGTAAGACAGTTTAAAGCTACTCATTCTTCTCAATGATGAATAGTACTTGATGCACATAATATCCAGAGCAGGATCTTCACAGCACAGCCAAGATTACAGCTCAGGAGTTCCTGGCTCCCTAGTTCGTGTTCACAACATTACACAAGCCAATTCCAAACTCATTTTCTCTTGCAAAAGTCTTGTGGGCCAAATCTTCATTTGATACTAGTTATTGTAGATACAGAGATACAGAGCAATTTGCATCAGCTGCGGATCTAACCTTTATATGGAATTATAGCAGTGAAGCATTTGCTTAGGCAATGTGTACCATGGAGCTGCCAAGATTTTGAGAACTCTCCAGGAAACAAGAGGATAGCCATGGTTATCTGGGAGTCGTGCCCTCTTTCCTGTATCTGAAATTATTTACCCCGTTCATGTCAGATACTGGCATCTCTCTGCTACTTGGTCACCTGAAAAAGACACAAGTAAAAGAGTGTAAGTAAAAAGAGCCATTATTCACAATTTAAAGATTAAATCAGTATATGATTTCACAAAGATCAGTTGGTGCTCCCAGGAATTCAAATTATAGTTGATTCTTCTGTGCAATCCAATAAAATAGAGTTTTTTCCTGGCACTACTACTTGCTTTTCTATTACTTTTGTATTGTGCTTTGAAAGAAATTGTATTTTTTCCCCCAAATGAATAACTATACTGAATTGTTCATACTACCTTAATTTTCTTAAGCTTTACTCCTAAGTAAAGGTTAAGATGCTTTCCAGTATTGCTAATCTAGTTTTCTACCACTAACATGGGAATGCCTGATATTTTTCCATTTGCAATGTAGTACACACCAGAAGATTTTATCGAATATGACTATGAGTATGGGGATGCAGATTATAAAGAAACTGATTCTGTAACAGAGGGACCCCCACTGTTCGAAGAGACAGTAGCACAAACAGAGGTAACAGAATCTGATCTGTTTGTTGTGTGGTGTACAGCTGTCCCCTACCATGTGGTTTGTCAATTTGTGTCTTCTGTATATAAGCTTAATGTTTTCCTTTCACTCATTTCTTCACTCTGTAGCTGTAACATTTGCTTTCAGTTAGAGATGGAAGGTCTCACAGCTGACTGCATTCATCTTACATTTGGTTACCCTTTTTTTGTTCATGCTGTCTCAGTTTTCCTTCCATTTTATTTATGTTTTCCTATTCCATCTTTCATAACGTTTGCAGAAAAAGAAAGCCAAGGTCAAAAAGAAGAAGAGGACAGTGGCCACTAGTTCAAAGGACAAACCCCTAAAGGCCACAACCAAAAAATCTGAAAAATATGCATCCAAGAAGAAGAAAAGTTATCAAGCAGCAACAAAAGGCAAACTATAGGGGTAAAGGTAGCCAAGAAATAATAAAGAACTTTCCTGGACTAAGACTGGAAGATCTCTAATAATAAGAAAAAATATACCTAGCCCCATTAGATGAATACATTTGGCTAATACTATAAACTGAATAAAAGTGATCACTCTGGAATTTTTCCTACAGCATTTTTTTTAACAATGTACTTTTTGTTTGATACTAGGCAAATGTTGTGGATGGATTTCGAGAGTATAGCACAGCTGAAAATGACTATGGGCCCCAGACAGAAGCTCCCTCCAGAACTACTGAAGCAAATGAGGTAATAAGGACTCTTGAGTAAATTGTAGGCAAAAATACTTGCCCACCAGGTATCAGTGATTAAAAAAACCCACAAACCTATTTTAAAAGAATGAATGTCCATCTGTGTGAATGTAAATATCTGTAACAGCAACTAATGCAATTCTATGCTTTCTAAGCCTACTTTCAGAACCTACTGTTTTCTTGGGCAGAACTCCCATTAATTCTGTAGAGATCTGCTAAATCTTTAGACTGTACAGTTCATGTTTCTGGAAATCATTCAGTGATGTATGCTGTGGGAATGCAGGGTTGTTGTATTCAGTGTGAATGTGAATGGAGCTATGTCTAGTATAAACTAGGTTAAATACTAGATACCGTCCTCCTGATCTAATAAGAAGTGAAGTTTCTCATTTTTCCTGTGATTCTTAAAATGCAGCATAAAACAAGCCTAACACAAGATGAAGAATGGCTGCAACCATGGCAGCGTATTGAAGTTGAGTCAGGAGCCATCGTTTCCTTTTAATAGTTCTTCATAGATAGTTCTTCTTTCTTTAATGAGTGCTTCATAGAATCATAGGATCAACCAGATTGGAAAAGACCTTTAAGACCATCAAGTCTAACAAGTCCCCCAGCACTGCCAAGGCCACCACTCAATCGTGTCACTAAGGGCCTCATCTTCAGATAACAAAACCAAATTATTTTTCACTGAGGTTCTATTCAAATGAAACATTATATTTTGAACTGTCAAAAAAGTTAAAATTATTAGTTTGACTTAAGTTAGAAACCACATTTTTAGAAAGCCACCCTTGCAAGCCTAAGCTTTATTTTGCTACGATTACTACACCAGTGTTGATTAATATGTCTGCATATTAATTAATGCTAGTTTTAGAAAAATGATGGCTGATTATAAGAAATATTGTTTTCATTTTTCTTTTACATTTTCCTTTAAAATGAAGATATATTGCTTAAAAGATGTACAAAACTGCTCCCTGAACATTTGAAAGGAGAAAAAGAGTCCCCATTTGTTTTTTGTTTTTCCTCCTATGTATCTTGGAAGGTGAAGGTGAATTAAGGTATATTTTCCTTATTCTACTGTAAACTGTTCTTGTGTTAAATCACGTTTTCTTCTCATAAGTTGATTGATAGAGGAATATTTAAATTATGCTGTTTATTGGGCAATTATAGGCCAATTCTACAACAGCTGTAATGAGAAAGGCAAAATTTGGCTTAGAATTACTTCAGACCTGCATTGACTCTAATTGTAAGGCAAAAGACGTAGTCCTGTAGCTATTGGAATTAGGCAACTGATAATCAGTCTGGCCTTCTATTTTAATAGCAATGTGTTTCAATGTCCTGATTAGATCAAGGTATTTTTAATTACTCTGGATGTTGATTAGTGTCTTAGTATATTTATTTTTAGATCACAGTATTTAGATCATCTCATATTCATATTAACAATATCTGAACTTTGATTTCTTTCAAAATAATGCTTTCAGGAGACCTCTGTAACAGAATAAAGCAATTCTCTTTTTTTTCCTTTATTCACAAATGTTTTTGTACATCTCAAATATAGCACTTCTTTTAAACTACTTTTTGGTGCTTGTTAAGTTAGTTGCTTGGTTTGACAGTTTACGTACTTGAAGGTGAAAGCTTAGATTTTAGTAATGTTAAAATTAATCTGAGTTTTGCTGGTGGAATTTGACTCGGACAAAAAAATATAGAAACTACCATGTCAGACATGAACTCTGAGTGATAAATAAACTGCAAAATCAGTAACAAGAGAAAAGAAGTCGAAACATTTAGCTCAGCATCAGTATTTATAGACACAAAATAATGAAGCCTGGGCTTAACTAAAGTGATGTTTGCACTTCCTGTACATTGTTACTGGTCTAAAGTTATTCACTCATTGCAGTGCATGTGTTTATTCATGAATCCTTGTAAATGTGAAACCAAGCAGGGAATTTAAGCTATATTTGGCACTGAAGTAACAGTAAGCAAGCAGTGCTTGCTTACAGTGTACTGTACATATCGAATTCAATGGGTTTGGAAATAGTTTAAAAAAAAAGCATACAAAAGCATTACTTCTTTGTACCACTTTTACAGTGGTACAAAGGTTTAAAGTATCTTTTAATTACTCTGAAAGGCTGGACTTCCATTCCTTCAGACTCTAATTAAAAGACAATATGCTGTAGTTGTACTGCTCTTTCTTCTTTTGAAAAGTCATTATGGTGGATCAGCGTATGCTTATATTGCTTTACTAACAATAACCCACGTATTCCTCCTATTCCCAAATCTTTGTCACTGGTATGAATAGCAAAAGCCTGTTGAAGAAGTATTTGCCGAAGAATACATAACTGGAGAGGATTATGATAAAAAAACTGAATATGGAAGCAGAGGAGTAGACCTCAGTGAATCTGATCTGCTGGTAGATGGAGATTTAGGCGAATATGATTTTTATGAGTATAAAGAATATGAAGAGAAACCAACTGATTCCACTAATGAGGAGTTTGGTCCAGGTGTTCCTGCAGAGACTGATATCACAGAAACAAGTGTAAGTTGATTGCAGGCATAACGGAGATTAATTTAATACAGTGATTCTTTCATAGTTACACAGTTTCAGAAATGTATAGACCCTAGTCAAAAGCTCTTTGTACATATTAGATATATTCTCCCTTTTCATAAGATCTGGGTCAAGGCCATCCTCTTGTTTTAGTAATCCTGATATTAATATTTGTATTAAATGTAAAGTTTTTGTCTCTTTTGCTGAAGGGAGTAAGGGAGGGTGAAGATGGGAGGGGAGGGAAAGGAAAGAAAAGGTGGAATTTCAAAAATAAATGTAAAATGATAAATTTTTTGAATCCTGCTCAACTAGAGCTAAAGCTGGAAAGAACCTAAGTTCTAATGCAGGTGCAAGTACTGTAATTAATGTTTTGATATGATTACCCAAAGAAGTTGAAATGCATATAGGTGTCTAGAATCCTATGGCTTCTGCTACTTCCCAAGGAAAAAAATCATGAGCGGGAAGGTGGAGATCTGAACCCTTTCAAGAAAATAAGCTTAGTCAATGGTGACAAGTTTATGACCTTGGAGGAGTGATCTAACAGCTCAGTATATGTAAAGGAAGATAGGATGACATGGTGGATCCTATGAATCATGCTCTTTTTTGTCTTTTTTAGCTCTCTCTCTCCCTCTGACTTGATCACAGGCTTAAGACCAAGGCTTTAGTTTTGCCTTAGTTTTACTTTAGTTGTGCCAAGATCCTTGTTTACCAGTTTACTGGACTGTGGAATTTACCAGTTTACTGGACTGTGGAAGCTGCAAAGAAAACTAATGTGACTGAGGCTGGAAGCAAAATTAATTCCCATTTGGATTTTTAATTGCAAAGGCCTTGAATATATAGTAGGAAAGAAGAATTTTGTTTGTGGTGTTTGCTCAGTCTTATCTTTATTTTCTCCTCACAAACGTAAAACTTCAGTTTACAAAGGATCCAAGAAATAACTGCAGATGCTGTGAGCTTGCTTTTCTCTGCCAACCTTGAAACTCATACTTCTGTATTTCATTTATCACTCCTTTCTAAAACCTCTTAGGGTCATTGTATTTTCAAATGATCCTTATCTATGCAATGTGATAAAAGCTTACTTTTTTCCTTCTAGCTCAGTTGGGGACACTATGGCAGAATGACACAGGAAAGGTCAGATTATCTGCAAAGCAAAAAGCCCGTAAGGCACCATTTGTACCTGCATTAAGCAAATTACTGTGGACTCTGTTCCCCAGTGTAAATTTCAACTTGAAATGCCTTGCTGCAAAACTGAAGGAGTCTGGAAGCGTGAATTAGAACACAGGCTCTGACCTGTGCCAGCTTTTTTACAACTCTCATCTGCTGGACCAGAGATATCATATAATTTTCCTTGGATATATGGATGTATTTAGAACAAGTGAAGTTCTACTTTTGCTAAAAAAAGCAAGATGAAAAGTACTCGATACCTGGCAGTACCCAGAAACTTTGAAAAAAGGGGCAGTATTTCCAAAGATGGAGACATGACATAAATTTTTACAACCAATTTTTGTTAATATAATAAAATATAATGATCTCTACCTCTTGCTACTTGATTTTTATGAACTACTGCATTGTTACGAGTGTGATCCATGCTTTTATAAATCAATATGAAATGCATAAGCCGTGAATCTCTGTTTTTACTTTGCAAAATATCTCATGTTGGAATACTGTAACATTATCCCTCAGATTTTCCAATCCCCAGCTATTTAGTGTGAATGTAGAATCACTCTACTGAAATGAAAAAAAGCATTTCAATTTTTCATCTGATCAGAGCCAAATTTGATGTCTAGTGGGTATATTAGCAGACTAATTAACATGTTTTGCATGTCTAATGAAAGAAATCAGGAGCTCGAAGGGTACTGTCTATATGGGACCAAGGCATCTTTTTTCCCAGGTTACTTTAGGGTTGCTTAACTGAGAAAGCTGTGAAGAATCATTACAAATTGCCAAGGATACGTCCATTCAGATAAGCAAAGAAATAACTTTGTGACTTGCACACAGAAGTTCTAAATTCTAAGTCCAAAGTCTGAATGCAAACCATCGGATGCAAGTTTTGCATCTAACTCAAAAAATACAAATAGTCAATGTCTAATAATTTGAAAAGTACACATGCAGTTCTTGCATTTTCCACTTCTCACGTATTATGTATTTTTATTTACATGGTTTGTGCCTGTGATGTATTTTTCATAGCACAGATCAATTCCAGCTTTAGCTTTCAGTTACAGGTTGCTGCAGTTCTTTATTGTACCAGGTCCTTGGACCTCCTACTTACTTTAATTTTTGGTGCTGTTTTTACTTCTCAGGTGGCTAGACATGGAGCTTATGGAGAAAAAGGCCAAAAGGGAGAACCAGCTGTGATTGAACCTGTAAGTACAGACATGGGTGAGTTTTTGTTTAGCACTGTAGAACTATGTACACTGTTGATATATCAGTATCAAACTGTGTTGTTCATTATAGGATGGCAGTAACCTTATCCATGATCTCTGAAACAATTACCTGCAGTGTGGTAGGTGTAAAAGTGATACAGGCAGTAGCCTGTTCATCTTTCTTATTTGGCTACACAAAGGACTAACACATGTTCCTTAAACCAAGGAGACTCTTCTTGTGCAGAGGAAAACAGAGCATAGATTTGCTCTTCAGGCCATTTAGTAACTACAGCTTGGACAGACCTACAGAGATAGCTTCCAGCTACAGGTTTCAGTGTGGGCAAGGAAGTCCCTCTCAGAAGTGTCGTGGTTTAAGCCCAGCCGGTAACTCAGAACCACACAGCCACTCACTCCCCCACTTCTCTCTTCCCCCGCTTCTGGAGGGATGAGGAGGAGAATCAAAAGAATTTAACTCCCATGGGTTGAGATAAGAGCAGTCCAGTAACTAAGGTATAATACAAACCACTGCTGCTACCACCAATAATAATAATGATGAGGGAAATAACAAGGGGAGAGGACACAACCACTCACCACCCGCCGACCAATACCCAGCCTGACCTGAGCAGCGATCTGGGCCTTCCGGGCAACTCCCCCCAGTTTCTATACTGGGCATGACGTGCTGTGGTATGGAATAGCCCTTTGGCCAGTTTGGGTCATGTCTTGTCTTTTGCTTGCTCCCTGGCAGAGCATGAGACTGAGAAAGTCCTTGGTCAGAGTAAACATTACTGAGCAACAACTAAAACCATCGGTGTTACCAGTGTTGTTCCCAGGCTGAAAGTCAAAACCACAGCACTGCACCAGCTACTGAGAAGGAGAAAAATTACTGCTATAGCTGAACCCAGGACAGAAGTTAAATACATGCTTGTATGTTTAACCTGTGCTAGTGCAACCAAGCTGCTAAAAGTTTAATTAAATATTTTATTCAGAGGTTACAACTTGGTCATAAGCACAGTAATAGATGAGTAGCTTACAGAATTTTTCTCATCTCATAGTATAGTAACTAAGTGGCTTTTGCAGTAGGACAAAATTATACTGTAGCATTATATTTAATGGGTAAAAACTAAAATGTAACTGAGTTTTAAAAAAGACATAGTTTATACAAAAATAGTAATTTGATAATATCTGGCAGAAGTTGAATGCCAGTCTGATTTAGTCTTCTTATATTTTCGGGGACTACTTTCTAATAAGGTGTTTTACTCTCAGTCATGGTCTGTCAAGCAGCTCAGAGTGTTAGCTAATAAAATGACAGCTTTTTTAACCCATTGCAAGATACATTTAGTTTACAAGCGTAATACTGAAGAGATCTCCACTGCTAATCTCCAGAATAGTTGGAGTTCACTACAGCTGCCTTCCAGCTTGTTTGTCCAATCTTCCTTCCTATGGAAAGCCAAGTACAAGTGAGGATCGTATATTCATAGGTCTGATCATGACCTGGAATTTGGACTAGCATCTGCACTGAAAAAAAGGAACTAGGAGATGCTATAAGACCTACAGCATAGAAATAACCAGAATTGTTCACATCTGTTTCTTTAACAGCATTATAAAGATGTTTTATAGCTTTCACCAAGACACAACAAATTCAGTATCTTGTTTTGTCCCCCTGCTCAGGGTATGCTCATTGAAGGACCACCGGGACCAAGAGGACCTGCTGTGAGTAGATAACCACAATTTCCATTTATTGAATTTGATTTATCCACTGTGGTTTGGTATTCGTGAGTTAACACAATTTATATCGGTCTTATCATAATTCCCAAATTCCACATTGACTTAGCATTTTTAGACAGGAGTTAAAAAGGGTCATCTCCAGCATTGTCAGTGACAGCATGCTACAAGCTGAGTGCACATGAAAAGCAAACTTTTGAATGTTGTCTATAACTCTTTTTAAGGTAAAAAAGTATGCCACCGCATACATTATTTTATCCAGACACGTGTTCAACATAACTTTCCAGAGAAAAAATAGATCAAAAATGCTGCAAGAATTCAGCATAATAATGTTATTCATTTTCCATAGGGTCTAACAGGTCCCCCAGGTCTACAAGGTCCTGTTGGTCCTCCAGGTGACCCTGGTGAAAGGGTAAGTCAACAAACAGGTTCTCCTGTGTATTCATGGTATGTCTTGCACTAATTGCTACAAGAGTAAGTGGATTCAATCCTGATCTGAAATATATAAACACAGGCTAAGAAATTCCAGTAGAGCTGGGGCTGATGTGGTCAGCTGAGCAAATCAACTGAGAATCTGGACAAATTCTGCCTTAGTGGTAGAAATATGTGCTGTAAATACATGGAAAAAGTTAAGTACCTATTTGACTATATTTCTCTGCTTAGATGTGAATTATGTTAAAATATAATAAAGCAGTAAGTACAAGCATTTCATGTGGATTTGAATGAATTACATTACATTATATTACATTACATTATATTTTGATTTATATTATAAGATGTTTCATATTATGTATCGATATATGTTATGTATCAATTTATATTATAATGATATAAATTAAACAAATACAGGCTGGGTGGAGACTGGATTGAGAGCAGCACTGAGGAGAAGGACTTGGGGGTGTTGGGTGATAAGAAGCTCAACGTGACCTGGCAATTTATGCTTGCAGCTTAGAAAGCCAACTGTGTGGTGGGCTGCAGGTCAAGGGGAGGGATTCTCCCCCTCAACTCTGCTTTCATGACACCCCCCCTGCAGCCCTCTGTCCAGCTCTGGGACCCCCAACATAAAAAGGATGTGAGGTTGTTGGAATAAGTCCAGACAAGGCCATGAAGATGGTAGAGGGCTGGAGCAGCTCTCCTATGAAGACAGGCTGAGAGGCTTGGGCTTGTTCAGACTGGAGAACAGAAGACTCTGGGAAGACCATAGAGCAGCTTCCAGTGTCTAAATGGGGTCCACAGGATATCTGGAGAAGGACTTTTTACACAGATGTGTAGGGATAGGATAACGGGGAATGGCTTTAAATTGAATGGAAGAGGGTAGATGCAGATTAGATGTTAGGAAGATGTTCTTCCCTGTGAGGGTGCTGAGGTGCTGGCACAGGTTGCCCAGGGAAGCTGTGGCTGCCCCATCCCTGACAGTGTTCAAGGCCAGGCTGGACGGGGCTTGGAGCAACCTGGTGTAGTGGAGGTTGTCCTTGCCATGGCAGGGAGGTGGAACTAGATCTTCAAGGTTCCTTTCAATCTAAACCATTCTATGATTCTGTAAGTGTCATGAATACAAGTGTAGATGACTCAAAAGGTTCATCTTATGTAATTGTCTTTTTGGTCACATCGTTTGTCCTCAGGGTCCACCTGGTCGCCCTGGTCTCCCTGGTGCTGATGGTTTAGCAGGTCCCCCAGGTACCATGTTAATGTTGCCGGTAAGTTGTATTATGAGTACAGGGTAACCAGCCTCCACAAGGAGGAAGCGTGTTTCAAGAAATGTATAGGTGTTTTCTCATCTGGTTTTGTCTTTGGAATGGGAGATGATACAGGCTTTCTTGTACGGTGTAAGCATTTGAAGGTCATACGGTACCTTTTATTCCTCAAACAAAACACATGCTTTAGCTCCTCCATGGCTGCCAGATTGGAACCTACATGAACGTAATACACTCACTGAAATCCTCCTTGTATTTTCAACAGTAACTATTACTTGCTACTGTATGTCCTAAACAAGGAGTTTGCTGTTGCACGGAGTACATGTATTCCCAGCAGGCATGTGTGCTTTCAAGTCTCTTTGACATGGAGAATTTTAAGTATTCCACTGGACTTCAGTGTCCTCTTTGAAGAGTCTTTGAATAGAAATACAAATGCACGTAGCCAGCTCTGCTCCCACTACAGCCAAAGCAAAACACCATCTGTTACAGGAGGTGGAGGAACAAGCACAGAGCTGTTAAAGTATCTTGCAGCTTTGTGGTATGAGAAGTACTATGCGCATGGAATTAATTTTTCCTAAGTGTATGTGTGTATGTGGAAGCTCTGATGAGTTCTGCCATCCCAGAGAACTGGTAAACCACCTGTAAATGAAGGGACAGTATTTTTGGAAGTAAAGCAAGGTAAGTAAAGTGTCAGAAATATTTGCTTACCAATAACTAGGTGATGGGAAAATGCCACTACTTCTCAGGGGAATTATCCCCAAATCATTCTTCCATCTATAATTGCTGTGCTAGCAGAGGAAAATTTATCTAAGTGTGGACTAATACTTAATCTATCAGTCACTTTGAAAAATATCAGGAGCTTTATTTTTGGATGTTAATCAGTCTCTTCACAAGTGATGTACCAAGTCAAACCAGAAAGTTCTCAGGAAGGAAGGAAATGGTTTGAAGTCTCCTGAATTCCATCTGAATCGTTTAAGCACCATTCAGACTTCTTTAACACATTTATACACTCCACAGAGAAGCCACTATCCTTCTAAAACAGATGACCTGCTCACTGGCTTGAGAGCCATTCTGGTATAAAGGAGTAAACAAGTGGAATTGAACTTAGCAGTAACAGACTGTCTTGTCACAGAGATACATTCAAAACACCAAGTAACATGTGAGAGACACCTTTTGTGGGATGTGTGGCTCTTTGTCATCATGTGTAGGTCTTGAAATTGAAGTCTGCCTTAAATTGAATTGCACTTTTCTGTGGGTAGCTACTAAAGTACAGAGAACTAATTACTTTTGATAAATTGCAGACAATTAAAAGTCTATTTTGACCTCTTTTTGAAACAAAATGAAACCCCAAATCCTATGAAATAAAGAAAATGTTTGCATTTCAGTTCTAAGCTATTACCAATGACTTTATTATTCATGCTGGATCCAGTGCCTCAATGCAGCAGTCTTCTGAAGTTAGTGGAATGAACTAAAAACTGAGAGCTCATCTTTGAAGTAGTCTACACAGTTGTAGCACAGAACAAGTATGTTTGTAATTTGATAAATTCTGAATCCTATTCTTGTTTTGGTACTTGCAGTTCCGCTTTGGTGGAGATGGTGAGAAGGGCCCAACAATCTCAGCTCAGGAAGCTCAAGCACAAGCTATTCTTCAGCAAGCCAGGGTGAGCATAAGGAGCCTGCAAACAAAACTGTCACAAGGGTACAGGTCCCCAAAAAAATAATCCACTTTATATCATGCAGGATGTGAAGAGTTCTAATCATCATCTCATCACAGTAGTTACTTTTATTGAAAACTGAGTCAATGACAGGGGCCTATTTGCTAATGCATGATGAAATTGTATTAATATAGAATTTTTATGCTGGCTGGCAGCTTTTTCTTCATACCTGTGGTTTTGATCTGTTTGTTTCTTCAGATTGCTATGAGGGGTCCGCCTGGTCCCATGGGACTCACTGGAAGACCAGGTCCTGTGGTACGTAAACAACACAGGGGCACAGGTTTAAGAACACAGTAATGCAAGTCAGTGGATCTTGTTCTGGCCTTGCCTACACCTCTGTATTTATACTTATTTTATTTAAAAAGAAGCTGATAGAATTAAAGCCATAGTTTGTGCTCTTAGTCAAAGTCTGCAGTGCAACCTGAATACTGTATCAGTTTTTACTATAGATTTTGGGGTATTTGGATAGAGCATTTTGGTGAACTTACAAAACTAGTGACTATTTTTATGTAAATAATTACATATGCCTCTACAGTCAGTCATCTCTGTAATACTATTCATAAAATTTATTGTGGTAAATACGAAACTCCACAGAAGCTACTAAAGCAAGAGTGTGCAGAATTACCTTCACTCATTATTTAAGCTGAATCTGGAAAGTTCTTAAGAGGCATTCCTATAAGCTATTAAAAGCCATGCAGAGTTCTAAAAAAACTACTTTTTTACTTCAGTCCTGAATTTGGCTTGACTGCTAATACCAAATTATCTGGCAAAGGGCCCTGTGGATATTCAAAAACATGAATATTTGTTTATATATAAATACAAAGTTTATATATGGAACACAAGCTTTTCTGTTGACATGCAAACCAACTTTGTGATTACAAATAGGTTTGCCTCTGTAATCCCTACAGACACTTTAAAAAGACAATACTCACAATGAAAGAATAAAACCAGGTAGGAAATCCAGCAAGGCAAAACCACCTGATCCATCTTGCAATTTCAGTTTCCTCTTTTAGCAAATGGATACTTTCCAGACTCAATAATCCACTAAAAGATGTAATTTAGCATTTACTATCTTTCAGAAAGCTATTATAAATCATTTGTACCATGATATAAAATAACAAATGATGCAGCCAAGATCATAAGCTTTGTAGATTGGTCTTTTCTAACTTTCTCCCTGGTGACTGTATTTATCCTCTAATGTAGAGTGAAATTGTTTTCTACAGTTGGTACATCATCCATATTTGAAAGACGCACTTAATTTGCAAACTGTTTTGTCTACTGTGATGGCACAACAAGGTTGGCCACTGTTTGTCTGGCCTCTTGAATTTTGATCTGTGTCTGCCGTAATTTTTATTTACATTGTCATTATGGTGGTGCACACAAAGGGTAATGTTGGCATGTCTCATTAGATCAGACATGCATCTAGTTGTAAAACACAGACAAGAATACAGTTGTGCTATTGAGAAAAGAAAACAAGTGATCACTGGGTAACCAAGAGAAAAGGATAAAGCAAGTTCCTGTTGGTTTATTGTGTGAAGAAAAAGAGATATGCCAGTCACAACTATAGCAGCATATATAGAAGACAGCAGCAGAAGTTGCTGGAGGCCACCAGTCTTTCTCTTTGCGTCAGAACGCAATAGCATTTTTCGCCGAAGTAGTTTTCTACGACTCACTGCAATTGTGGAGGAGATTTGATCATAATTTAGAAGTGGTGAGACTGTAGGGTAAGAAGTATGGTTTCTTTCCCTTCTTTTGCACTTCTTTTGTTCTTTAATGTGATGTTTCAGCAACAGCCCATAGCTGAACAGTAGTAATTGCGTCCTCCCTTTCCAGCCTCTTCTTTTTCCCTTTCATCCTCATTCTCCTGAAAGTACAGCGTCCATTAGCTTGAAAGCAGGAGACCATATTACTTACATGAGTATAACATCCTACTATTACCAACAGAAAATACTGGTCAGGTTACTGTCCATTTCACTATGTATAATTATAGCAGCACGATGCAACTGAAAGGTTGCCTCAGTGGCTCTTGGTGCTGCTCCCTCCAGTGACGACTTTTATTAACAAAGGAAACCCAGGGGGACATAAAATAATTACATACTGTTGAAGGAATATTTGAAAGAGTATAAGGAATACTTTGGATTGTGTTCTTCCCTGATCCTAGCAGCTTAACATTCTCTTCAGTGACTCTTGAAAGCTACGTGATACTAAAACCGTTGTAAGTTGTATTCTCAGTTGGCATGTGAGTGCTTTGCCCCATATCCATATAGTATCAAAAAAATCTATTCCAGATCATGCTGTGCTCCAAATTGGCCTCTCTCATGAAACCAGGCTGTTTATCTAGGTGAAATGTACTGTTTTCAGGTAAATTTTCACTTGGTCCCCAGCAACTGAAACAACTGAAATCACTGGATTTGTATTTTTAAGCAAACCTATGTAAGAACAATTCTTTTCTAGAGTAATTCTTTCAAAGTAAATAGTTGCTACCAAGCAGAGAACTTGGCTAACAGACTTCTGATTGATAGAGATTAGGTATGTAACACTTACAAATAGCCAAACATGCTGGGTCTGTTTAAGAAACTAATACACTATTTCCAGAAATGTATTTAAATCAAGAGACCCATAAGGTAACATTCAGTCTATACAGATAAAATAACTATGTAACTGCTGTAAGCAAGGAATTAATTTGTAGGACTGGAATAATAGTGACAGTAGGTTGTATACCTGTAGCAGAGGTATAACCTGGCCTCATACTCAGGCTTTCATGTTTTAGAAGCCTTCATGAATTTCTGTATTTAGCATACAAATTAACAATATTAATAGTTGTTTTGCTTCTAAGCCACCAGGAGGCTCTATTAATCCAACTCTTTGACATGGCAACATTTTTGGCCTACAGTTCCAGAAGATACTACAGATTCTTGTAGTGTGTGTGCCTGGCTTACTTTAAAAATTAAATAGCTGGAGCTTTTGCTTTTAATAGGAAGTGTATTTTTTAAATTAATTTAGTGGCCAGTAAGATCCATTTAAAAGTATATCAGTTATTAGAAGTCTCAAACATAGCAATCAAAGTCCCAAACTAGCTTCGATTGAATCTGGAGCTCACATTCTTAGTGAACACCACATACAATATGTCATTTCTGCCTACAGGTGTTAAATGTTATCAATTATGCTAATTAAAAGCAGGGCTTACATCAGGGAAACCCAAACAGCCAGCCACCACCTCCCAAAGCCACTGTTCTCTCCTCTGCCAGTACCAGCTCAGGATCTGATTTTCAATTTGCTTAGGACACTGCAAGGTCAGCGGGAAGCCTTCCACTCCAGGGTACTGGACTCAGCATTAAGTCAAGCCATGAGGCAGTTTCTTTCCATGGTGAATATAGGAGGATTATCAATTTTCCAAGGTCTGCAATATTTGTTTCATCTTCAATACATACGTTTGGTCATGACCCATTTCAGAGGTTAGAAAAGCAACATTTCTTTTGCCCACAGTAATAGTAAACTCCAGTATGTTCATTTGCTGAGCCTGTATTCTGTGTGAGTACATTGAGATTTTTTGTTCTGTTTTGTCTATTTTTGTAAAACCACCATGAAGAAAACACACACTTTGACTAGTTCTGCCCCAGATTCCGTGCACAGTATCTTGCCCTGGATGGAGATCTGGTTTAGGTCTGTTTATGAGTAAAACTTACTCTGAAAACTTGTATTATCATTTAATGATAGAAAGAGAAGCAGTTATATAGGTTTTCCACTTCTTCCGGGCCAGATGCACAAAGATCTTTATTTAAGCATCACTGACATTGGTGACAAATTAGACAGGGTATTTTTCATTGACTGTAGTGATTTTTGGGTTGAATTCCATGACTGTTATTTTCTGTACAGCACAGAAACAGATAAAGGTAAAAAGAGGTGGCTTTCATTTCTGTTGGCTTCTCTACAGTGGATGCACTTCTGTTTGCATTTCATATGTTCTTACTCTGCTCATATTTAGCTCTCTCATATTAATATAGAACAAACTGCTACATTTGATCCCATTTGAATCAATGGGAGTTTTCTTTGGTAAGAGATTTTTGGCCCAGTTAGGCCCAGTGTTTAGACAGTAATATATCATGGTATATCTGCACATTCAAATGGTGAATTCATACCTTCTAATGAATAGGGGATTGTTTGGTTTTTTTCTCCCTGTAATTAATTTATAGAAATTAATTTACTCATTTATAAAGAGGCTTTTGTATATTTAAACAGTATGTTTTGCTTTTTTCATCAAGGGTGGACCTGGAGCAGCAGGTGCTAAGGGTGAAAGTGGTGAACCAGGTCCCCAGGTACAATAATATTAGCTGTTATGTTTGAGCATGTATAGCTTTAAGAAAATATATTCAAAGCACTTAGAAGAAATGAGTCAGTGATTTCTTTCCACAGACTATTGAAGAAAAAAGGCTTTTACAGTGCTATCCTAATTAAATGCAATAGCTTGATTGTTTATTTTGAAATATAAAAATACCAATCTTTATATAACAAAGAGCAATTATCACATGTAGAGTGTCATCACGTGAAAACATGTTTTAATATTGTCATTTCAGGCTCTTTTCTCTGTTAAATAATCATGTCAGTCTGCAATTGTATGACCTTGGGCTCTGATCTTATCAGATCTCATAAGGTGAGAGAGGTTGAACTTAGCTGGGAATTAAACAGGGTATTTTCAAGAAAGACATGACATAGCTAGAATAATTCTTCCAGAATCAGTGCATGCTCTTCTTCTTAGCTTACTGTTATATCAGCTGCTGCACAGTGATGTTATGGAGTACTGAAACACATTGAAATATTTCAGATTAAACCTAAAAGTAATAGGGGATTCTTACAGAAATCATGATAGGAGTGTCTGGAACAATGATTTTGACTGATCGTAAGGGGTAGCATGGATTTGCTACATTAAGTGCCCTTCTTAAAACTCCACATGGATATTTGCAGAAGAAAACCAAGGCACTTAAATAAACAAAGAAGTACTCTGGACAGCTGGTCAGTCTTCCAGTTTGCTAACTTACATTGCTAGTAGTTCTTCTGTTCCTTCTTGGTAATTTTGGATGGCTAGTCCCTACCATTGCAATTTTCACCTGAAAAAGATGCATTTACATGGGGGATGAGAAAGCTTCCACAGAAAAATACACCTACAGTCATCAGTGAAAGTTACATGTGTTTGAAAAGTGAAGTTAGTTGTTTTCAGTCTGGAGTAATTTGGTCTCCCTGTAGTTAAGACTGTGCTGTGTAAAGCTAAGACAGCATGTGAGCTGTTTACCAGAACAACTGATGCTTGCGTACGAGTTACAGATCTTAAATAAGCTCTTTTTAGCTTTCATCAAATAATTATAATGTGACTAAAATAATTTTGGCATGAGAAGAAAAAGGGTTTTCAAACCACAGGACTGAGATCTTCAAAGCTGTGGAAAAAAAAAAGTGTAAGAAGCTTTTATGTTGAAAGGACTAATTATGCTGTGTGTAGTGCCATCTCACGAAAGCTAGTGTTAAAATTGGTACTGCTAAGGCCAGTTTGGATGCCTATGTTCTTTTTAAACTCGTGGGAATTTGGAAACCAAAGTGCATCTCCTGGGAAAAAGCGTAGTTTGTGTATAAAAAAAACCCTCAGCTTGTTCTTGAGGTGAGATGTTTAACTAGCTTGTTTAACTAGCTCTTTGATGACATGAATGTGATTCTCTTAACATTCAGGGCCCTCGTGGTGTTCAAGGTGCCCCTGGTCCAAGTGGAAAAGCTGGCAAAAGGGTAGGTAGCATATGGATCCATCCTACTCTGGGTAAATAGTTTCTATTTAAATGTATTTAAATATTAACTGTTTCCACTCCATTTTCAAAAGTTTATCCCTTTGGGTTTTTGCAGGGACGTCCTGGAGCTGATGGTGCCAGAGGAATGCCAGGAGAACCTGGTGCAAAGGTAAATAATAGTGAGACCTCAGGCTTTATTTTAGTCTCGGAATGGGCTAGACAGATTTTATGGAGGTACCACAGTTTCTTCCAGGCCACCACAAAATTCTTCTCTCAAGTGAAAATACTGAGGTTTCAGATAGCTGGGTTAGATGTGATCTGAGAATCAATCAGCCATTTAAAATACGGTAATTAATGGTAATGGTTAGTAGTCTGACCTTGAAGTAACTTGATTCTTGGGGCATGATTCCTGTCCTTTAAAGTAAGTTTTTAGTTACAGAGTATCAGCAATAGTAAAGTCAGTTTTTCAACTGCAAATTACAGTTAGAACCAAGCTTTCATTTCAGTGTGGACTTCTTTCTTGTAAATAGCATAATTACAGCACAGTGAAGAAGTTGGTGTGACATTTTCTCTTGATGTATTGCATAGAAGCAAATTTCATGAGTTTGATCTATGTGCTTCTATGTGTTTCATTCAATATAAAAAATTTAAATACAACTAAGAGTAGAGACTAACTTTCAGAGAGAAGGCACAATTTATTGAGAGTAATACAGAATGCAATAGTCATTTAGTAAAGCTGTGATTTCTTCTTTGCTAGGGTGACAGAGGATTTGATGGTCTTCCTGGCCTCCCTGGTGACAAAGGTAACAGGGTAAGAAAAGCATGTATATTTATACAACAACGAAGTGATACTTTCACAGAAATAATGCACTGTTCATTAAAAATAACACTGAGGACTATGGAAAAGTGAAAACAGAATGTCATCTTTTCACACTACAGAATACTATCTTTATTGTCACATAATGTATTCCTTCTGAAACATTTTAGTAATATCAATCAATAGACAGCAATTCATATATATATTTTAATGATTTAAATGTATTTTCAGAATTCAGGTCACATCATCTATGTTTTGCTCTAATTTTTCTTAGTTCAGGGATTTGCTTGTTGGATTTAAAGTGATTGTTAAGGGAAATAGTAATAGGAAAAGGAAATGAGCATGAAGTTTGTGTATCAGGAGCATGATAAATTTCAACCTGCTGAGAAGCTTGCTCAAAAAAGGCATCTGTATATTTGAACTACCAACTGAATTGTTTAGTGTGGCTTATTCCAATAACTGTAAGCTTAGAGAAGGATCAGAGTCAGGTCAGGTAAGTTAGGAAAATTTGAAGTCATACTTAAATAATGTACTTGCTCCTTATGTCATACTAATCTACACGATGAGACTGCATCTTTCTCTACAAAGTGTAGAAATGATCATAGCAGGGGATTTCTGCTTTAAATTATATCCTTAAGTTAGATACTAATAACAACAAACTCTCCTGAATGTAAATCCCTTACTCTTGTCCTGGTGAGTGCAATGAACCATAAAAGAAGCAATGAGTGGGAATGTCAACAGAACCATTCCCATATTTTCTAAAGCTTGATGACCAAGGAATTCCTACAGCTCTCACCCTTCAATGAGTTGGCATAGTTGCTGCCCATAATGTAGTTCTTTCTCATAGCATCTAAAGATACTTTTCTGAATTCTGTTTGCAATGTGAAAAGAACTTCCAGTGTCATACAGAAATGTCTTGGTCCTCTTTCATCATCCCCTTTTACTTGAAGAGAGTAAAACAACTAGCTCATCACAGACTTGAAATCCAGCTTAATCAGCAGGTGACCAGCAGAGGGGGATAGACATTAAGCTGTTGCCATTACTTCACTCCTTTGAAGGCCAAGCAAAAATGGATTCAGTCAGGGAATGTGTCTCAGCTTTCCAACCTGGAATACTAGACTTGTCTCTCTGCAGGACCAGTGATAAAGAAATAACTGTTGTTTGGGATTTTTTTTTGATTTTTTGTTTTTTTTTTCTGGCAAATATTCTATTTGTTTCATATTTTCTAAACAAATAAACTAAAGCAGGAGAATAAGTTTGGGTTGAAATTTGCAAAATAGTATTTCTTTCAGCCCGTTACTTGAAATCACTGCATTCTCATGTTCCTGTGGAAATCTTCTGTAAAAGTACAAAGTATGATCTTTCCAAAAGCAGCTGAATTCAAAGCCAGATCAGATCACTGTAGCTCTTTGGACTCCTATATACTGACAGCATATAATGCAAATACTCAGTTCTCTCTGGCTTGCAATAAAGAGCACAGAAGACAAGAGAAGCAAATTTTCTGTGGTAGGTATGTTTCAGCCATAAGAGAACTGATGTTGAAAACATACAACTTGTGTGGAAGTTTTAGGACTACTTTTAGAATTATTCCTATTTGAAATATGAGTTGCAAACTGGATGTCTTTCTGAGGTTATGCTTTTGACAAATACAAATTGTCAGACAGGAGATACTGGATTTAATTCCAATGTAGGGAAGATCAGACCACATGGTGTAATATTATTTTTAACTTCATTATTTATGTCTTTGAACTTTTATTATTTAGATATACTAGATGCATAACCCTTCTCCAGTAAAAAACCAAGACACTGTGTATTAGAAGGAAAGGTCTAAGGAAAAAGAAATTCTGCCTTTAACAGAATATTTGAAGGAAGGTATTAGAGAATTGAAGTCTGAGAATTCTGATGGTGATAGGAAGTTTGGTTCTTAGTGCATGAGAATACCAGGACACTGCATGTAAGCTCCTAATCTAACTGCCAGGTGATTGCAAGACTAGAAAGACAGCCCTTTTGGGGGGATGAACTATTTCAACATTTGAAAGCTTAAGTCAGTCTTCACCTGGATGTTAATTGAAAGGCAGAGTACAGATCAGGCATCTCGTGTCATCTTTCAGGAATGTCATTTAGCATGTAGAAAACCACATGCTCTGCCAGCAGATCACATTGAGTAATTCCAAAACTTAGCAAAATAGACAAACTACTGTATTGATTCATCTTATGGTTATTAAAGTGCAGTTCACAGAATTTCATTTCCTGTCCCATGTCAACTCCAACTTACAGAGGACAGAAAGGCAGTTGAATAAAGTCCTGGCATCCCTAATATTAGATAGCTTTGGGGGTAAGAGAGCAAGTTACCTAAAATCCCTAGAAAAGTCTAAAAGAGTAAAGAGTGGATCTACTAAAGAGTGACTTCATACATTTCTGCTAGGATCCACAGCAGTGGTCAGGCTTCTTGGAGACGCTGATAAAATTAAGGAAAACAGCATGAATACTTGGTTGTTGTCCAATGCCAGAAGGAAGTCATAGTCTAAAAACCCACTGTCCAGAAAGAGGTCAGTCAGTAGTGTTTGAGCTATGTAGCACACTAGGTCTCTTTAGAAATAACCTGAAGTCCAGAATCTACTGAGGCTCTGCATATATAGAGTTGAAAAGCCCCAGCCTCTGAGGGGAAGTATGGAAGTCTGGCTGCTTTCCACAGCCTCAGACAGATCAGTCCCAAGGCTCTCAGTGACTGGTGCCAGGGTGCGTGGTTCTGAAACTTCACTGTGCATGGTTAGTGAACTTCACTGTGTATATTCCAGGGCCCAGCAATTGGTTTATTAACTTCTGACCCACGTACACATGCCTTATTTTATTGGCAGTAATACATTGTGTAGCTGGAGGGGGAAAGTGCCGATGAGACGAAGGAAAATATGGGTAACACTGCCTTTTGTAGCAGTAGTTTGTTTACGTTTTGGGGCCAAGAATAGTTACAGAGTGAAATTTTACAAAAATAATTAATTCATTGTATCAATAATGTTTATTTTTATGCTGAAGTAATAAAAGACTGAATCCCATAACCTGTTACAGGTTTGTATCATTGTGTCAACATGTTTTGACACATCAGACTTCAGCTAACTCATTAGTTTTCATTTCCCTCCCCATCCACTATTGTTTCCAGCAACAGATGTGTTATTTTTATAACTTTCATTATTCTACAGGGAGACCGTGGCCCACAGGGACCTCCTGGCTTACCTGGTGACGATGGATCAAGAGTAAGTTGCTATTTACACAGTCAAATCTGGAGTGAATCCTCATGAGGTGGGAATATGTTTGGTTTTTTTCCCTAAAACTCGTATTCTTTTTGTACAAAACCAGGGAGAAGATGGGGAAGTAGGACCAAGAGGTCTCCCAGGTGAAGCTGTAAGCAATGCTTTCTTATTCTTCTGTTTCTGTTACAAACAAAAATCACTATCAGCTGTTTTCCTTTCCATTGAACTGTTCTGAATTCCAGATACAAAACTTACTGCCTGTGTGTGCGTATAGAGAATACTGATGATGGCTGAAAAGCCAACAAATGAGCAGTTTTGTTAGGGGCGAAACATTATTTACAAGATTAGAATTAGGACAGGGATATATCCAGCCAAGTATACCTAAATTCCAGAATCACAAAAGCTATTCCATATCCTGCTGTGTAAAATCAGTCAGTGCAGTCCTTGATGCATGAGAATATAACCAAGCCCCTGTTGCTTTGAGAATGTTTTCTAAACATCTATTTATTAGAAAATAAGGCCTGGCTTCTCCTCTTGTTTCACACTCGTTTCACGTACAGAACTCCCACTGCTGTCAGCTGGAATTCTGCAGGTACTGTCACTGCAGAGCAGTTCTGCTCTGTAGGCAAGAAGTCAAGCCTCAGAAAAGGGGATTTCACTCCAAATGAATGATATATGGCTGCCTATTTGCAAAGTAGGAAGAAGCTGCTACAGAGTCAGTGATTTGTGACTATCACACATGAAGAGACAGGAGACTCAGTCTTACCTACTTTAGCAGCGTGGTGTGAACGATGGCACAGAACTAACATTAATTTACATAGTATAAAGCCGTAAGGTTACATTATAGACCAAATCTTGCTCACCTTATTTAGGAGGATAGCCACCGGTCTTTTGTGGAGATTTTTAGGGGTAAGAGGAATAAATCTGATTTCCAGAATGCCTTGCATTTACTATAATAAAATTAGCAGTAATTTTTAATTATTTGTTGGATCTTTACTACAGATAAAAGCCCTGTTTTACTCTTAGAATAGTAGCATAGAGTACAAAGACCGTCGTGTTTTTTAAGACAGGAATACAAACTTGTTTGCTGCTGTTCAGGTCAGGCCTTCGAGGCACAGCTGAAGCTTTAGTGGAAGATGCTGTGCCAATGTTCTGCACAAGAAAATACAAATAGTTATCTCCTCCCTTTCCCTGAAATGACCATACAGCAGCTAAATCAGCACTTGCCCTTACACTGACATCCTGTTCAGGTGAGATGGGGCTGGGCTGTGCCACCCGTTCCCGCAGGCCGGGAGGGAAGGGGCAGGCAGCCACCGGGAGCTTCCCCGTGCAGGCAGTGACACATGGCACCAGGCAGCCCTGTGGCATCGGATGGGGGCTGCCGGCGGGCAGGAGGGGCTCTGCCGCACGGTGTCACAGGCCGCCCCTTGGAGTCACTTTAGAAGGGTGAGGTGAGGGGTAGTGAGGTGGAGTCGGTCTCTGCTCCCAGGTAACAAGTGACAGGACAAGAGGAACCGGCCTCAAGCTGCCCCAGGGCAGGTTTAGCTGGAGCTGAGGGACAATTCCTTGCCCAGAGGGTGCTCAGGCATTGGAACAGGCTGCCCAGGGCAGGGCTGGAGTCACCGTCCCTGCAGGTGTTCACAGCCCGGGTAGACAAGGCCTCAGTGCCGTGGGTTAGTGGTGGCCTTGGCACTGCTGGGGAATGGTTGGACTGGATGACCTTAAAGGTCTTTTACAACCTGGTTGATTCTATGATTCAGGAGAATCTGTTATTGATGAATTTTTCCTTTCTTCCATTCTTTCTTACTTTCTCTCTCAACCCTCATGCTGCCTTCCCCTCATCCTTCCTATAGAATTAGCTAGGTTGGAAAAGACCTGTAATCAGGCTCAAATATGACGTTCCTTGCCCAGTCCTGCTCCTGGATCTCCCTGTTCCGAAAGAGTCATGGGGGTGTTGATAAGTGTTTCGTCTCTTACAGGGCCCACGGGGATTACTGGGCCCCAGAGGTACACCTGGTCCCCCTGGACAACCTGTACGTATGAGTTGGTTTGTATTTGCAATTTCCAGGAGAAAAATGGAAGTCCACCCAAAGTCGCTCATGCTTATATTGTGTGTTGTAGGGCATTGCAGGTATTGATGGACCTTCAGGCCCAAAAGGAAACATGGTGAGTATAAGCTGGGAACTAAAAAGGGTGTGGGTTCTAAGAATCCTCTCCACATTCTCTTGCCCCTGCCACTATGCCATCTCTTCCGTTTAATTAAGCTTTTCTGTGAGAATGTTTGGGTTCATTATGATTTTACATAGAAAAGAGAAGCTATCTATTACTTAGCCTTCAGCCAAAAGGCCTAACCATGCTTTCTGTCAAGCTCCTTTAGCACCATGGACTCCAGTGCTTAGGTCCTACATGTGGGCTGTTATTCTCTGTTAAAGAAAAAACCCATAATGTTCATTAGCATTAACAAAAAAAGTCATTCTGGATAGAAAATTGGTGGTAGACTTTAAAGAGGGAGGAACAATGTCTTCCTTTTAGCACTGACAGTGAAGATCTGTAGTGCAGAAATGCAAACCTAATGCCCTGGTATTTTTTTGCATGGTAGGGCCCTCAAGGGGAACCAGGACCTCCTGGTCAGCAAGGAATTCCCGGCCCACAGGTAAGTGTAAAATAACTCTCAAGACATATGCTGTAACGTGCAGCAAATTCTTAATAAATAGAAATTACTAAAAGGTTAGCATTTAATGTGCAAAACCGATAAAGCTTCAATGATTTTATAAATAACACTGCAAATATACTTGGGGCAGTGGGAGCAGAGTTTTCAAGTAAAGCTTTCAGAGGGAATTTTCATTCAGGAGAAAAATGACTCATTCAGTGTTCCTGGAATGCATTAGGAACGGCCACACCTGGAGGAGGACTCTGAATAGGATCTTGTTACAGACCCACTGCCAGAATAGTGGCTTGTGCAAAAGGCTCACACAAAACTCCTGATCTAACTTGTAAGGGGGGGTTGGAGGGAGGAAGCCACTTGTATTTGCCAGTATGTTTAAACAGATTAATGAGGGACCTTTAGTAGGGTGAATGTATGTATATTGTTCTCCCTGGTTTCTCACACTGGTTTCTTTTTGATAGGGGCTTCCTGGTCCTCAAGGTCCTATTGGACCTCCTGGTGAAAAAGTAAGTTACAGCATTATTCTAGTATTTCACAGTCAGTTCTGTGCAACAGCCTTGCTTATGTGTTTAAGAGCTTTGCTATGTTTCACAGAATAGTAAGCTAAGATCTAAAAATAAGCAGATCTTCCTGAAATCATTAAGTAAATGAATAGCCTGGCTGTCGTCTCATTTATGCCTTTTCACAAGCATCATTTCCTCCCTTTAATTTCAATTAATTCTCTGTTATTAGCTTCATAATCTCATCTGTGATATTGAACAGCGTGTACTTGTATGTTGATTTGTTTCACAGCAAGCTGTGAAAATTATTTTTATTAATCTCTTTTTTGATAACAAAGTTGTACCCATCCAAGTTCTCTGTTCTCAAGGGTTATATTTTGACACAGCTTTGCAGTATAATTGACACACTGTAGTGTGCCACTTGGTGGTTTTTCTCGTAAGCTCTCTGTTTGTACATACTCTTGTGGTTTGAAATGTGTCTTCTATTAATTTCAGAAATGTCAGTATTGAATTTTACACTAATTTTACCTTTCTCCCCTTTTTGCTGAATTCTTGCTCTATTGATTCTTCTTTGATTTTGCTTCTCCTCAGTGTTTAGTATGTAGTTTAGAGGAAATTGAAGGAGATTTTAGGAGTCAATATACATGGTTTTTACCTATATATTGGTTCCTAAGAAGTATTATTCTAACAAAATGGGCTAGGTCCACAATATATGCATTCCAGAGACTTTCATGAAGATGTACCATGCCTTTCAACTATGTGTGCTGGAGTTCTGTAACCTGTACTCTTCTTGATCTTGGTGGTATCTTTCATATGGTGAATCCTTTTATTCCTGAAATTCTAAATAATAGTTAATTTTGTACACTGGAGAATTCTTCCCCACCTCATGCTGTGTGTCTCTGTGTTCATAGATAATTCCTGAAGCCTGTTCTCAGGAATATGGGTGATTTGTATTGGCTAAAGACTGTAAGAACTGGCCTTATGCTTATATATTGTACAATAGTATCTTTCTGGGTTTAGTTTTGTCGTAGTTTTGGTTTATCTCTGATATCTATATGAACGTATTTAGGTATAACTGTATTTTATGTTCTTGGCTCTTAGAGTCAAATGTATTGGATGTGGGGTGGGGTTATTTTCCTCCCTAATTTGTTGCTTTTAAAAAAAATATTGTTATTGTTCTCTACAGCTGTGGTGGGTTTGCCAGTTTTTTTAAAATGTTAAAAACATTTAAGGTAGTTTGCTGGTTTAGGGCATACCAGTCATCAGCAGGGATGATGCTCCGTTATCCTAGTCAATGATAGAATGTTCACTGTTGTTAAGTTGTGTCTCTCTTACTGCATTTAGGGACCTCAAGGCAAGCCTGGCCTTCCTGGCCTTCCTGGTTCTGATGGGCCTCCTGTAAGTAACCAATATTTCTGGATACCTGTGTTGCAAAAGGAAGATGGAGCACTGGTAGTTCTAGTTGGCAACAGCATTATAAAATCCATCTAAAACTCCGCTAGATTTTGTTGGAGCGGTTAAAAATCAAAGAATGACATTTTTGAAGCAGCTGCTAAAAATGGCTGTGGGCTTTTAAAATGTGGTTCCAGATGATCAAATGCCTCTGAAACATCTGCAGGGATGTGTAAATACTCTAACTGACAAACAAGGGGCCAGACATTGCTTCACTGTAGTCCTACTATGTCAGTATGGCAAAGCAAATCATCTGTAAAAATACTCAACACTTGTTCTCTGAGGAAACAGAGAATAGACAGATCTTTCTCTGCTTCCTGACCTAAGGTGCATATTACATGTTTGGGCTGCTTCTTTCATTGTCTGCACTGGAACAGACAGTATTTAGAATCTTGTGATCCACTAAGGAATTCAGCTTAGCTCTGAGGATGCATTCACTCACATGAACAGAGTGTAACCACCTGAAGTAGCATCGCTTACAGTTCAGGCACTAAATTTAAATGGAATCATTGTTCATAATGACATGAATATACACTAGTTTTCTTGCATCAAAAACATCATCTTTTTGTACCACCAAGACAGTGTGACTTCTCAGATCATGTCTCTTCTCCCCTTGCCATTTTCCCTTACAATATTTCAAGTTAAATTTGCATTTCTTAAACAGGACTTTTCAATGACTGCAGGGGTTTCACTGCATAGATGCTTATTTACAAATAAAGAACTATACCCTGGGCTCACAATCTCTTTTACCCACCAAAGTACCATTTTCATGTAGTGTTATATATGCAAAGATAGTCCACCTAGAAGTCTCTATTTTGAATCGATGTGTAAACATCTAAACTTTCCCCCTTATCCTTTTCTGCATGATGGGAACAATGTTAATTTCTAAACATAAGCATTACTTTAACATCTGCATCTTGTTGAAAGCAGGGGGAGGGGAGGAATGCTGTTAAGAGATAATCAGGTATTAGCACAGGTCTGTACATGATGTACATCCCTACTGTGGTGGGTTGACCCCAGTCAGCAGCTAAACACCCCCCCAATCATTCACTTCTCCCACAGTGGGATGGAGGAGAGAATGAGATCAAAAGCAAGAAAACTCATTGGTTGAGGTAATAGCAGTTTAATAAGTGGAGCAAAGCTACACACAGAAGGAGAGTAAAATCAGGAATTCATTCATTACTCCCAATCTGCAGGCCAATAGCTAGCCACTTGCTGGGAAGTTGGGCTTCAGCATGCATAAGGACTACTTGGGAATACAAACACCATAACTGTGAATGTCCCCTCCTTCCTTCTCCTTTCCCTGAGCTTTTATTGCTGAGTATGATGTGGTATGGTATGGTATGGTATGGTATGGTATGGTATGGTATGGTATGGTATGGTATGGTATGGTATGGTGTGGTATGGTATGGTGTGGTATGGTATGGTATATCCCTTTGGGCAGTTGGGGTCCGCTGTCCCATCTGTGTCCCCTCTCAACTTCTTGCTCAACCTGAGCTTGCTGTCTGAGGGGTTAGAAGGCAACAACAAGAAAACCACACTGTACAAGCACTGCTCAGCAATAGCCAAAACACTGGTGTGTTATCTAGATGGTTTGAGTCACAAATCCAAAACACAGCATCATATGGCCTGCTATGAAAAAACCTAACTCCATGGGTACACCCACCCACTTATCTCCCTCATGCACAGTCAGGTTTGTTCAGAGGAAGGGCTGTAGAGGCAGGTTAAACTTCAGTCCATTTTAATTGATGTGACCTATTTGCAAACATAGAACTACACTAGTGATTGAAGGCAATGAACAATACCTTCCTGACTGCAGTGAGCTTTGTAGCTGTTCCCGTGGTATCTGTGTTAAGATCTGATGGAAGCTTCAGAGCATTTTTTTCAGGAGATGAGGAAAACTCTTGCTAGCTATTTCATTTCACTTCTATATGAGGAAATGTCCTTCTATTTTGAAGGTGAAACATTGTTAAAAGTGGTATAATATACTGGAATTAATAGAAATCTAAAAGGATACAAATGCATTCTTTATTAGCAGCGTTTTTAAAGTCATTTTAAGTTATAGAGACCTCTAACTGGATTGAGATTTAGATTTCATGCTCAAGAATGCATATTCTGGGAGGTTAGGATTAAAACCCTGACATACGTAGATTTAAACAAGCAAATAACAAATCTTTAATGTTAGTAAGACAAACTCTTTAAAGGATAACTGACCGTCACTGGTAAGCAGGTATCAAATGCTTTTTATTTTAATCATTCTTATAATAAAGAACATAGTTTAAACTGTTTTCCAAGGCCAGAAAATTGAATGTAAGCACCAGGGGTTTGTCATGTAAGATTAACAGCCACATCAAAGTCATATCATATTTGAGAGACTGAAAACATTTTGCAATGTCAATGACACCAAAACATGAATGGTTGTAGTAACTGGCTACATGTTGCATGGGAACACATGCTTGGCAAAACTAAAGATTTACTGTGCTTCTCTAGTAAGACTGATGAGCATAAATTCCTGATTGTTTCTCATAAACTTCAATTAACCTTTAGTTGCATTAAATTGCTTTTAAATTTTGCAGCATTTTGGTGCATTTTCTTCAAGAAAGGAAAACAGTGGATCGGTTAATGTTTTGAGTGCTGCAGTATTAATGTCAATGATGCAGAACATAGGCTAACACAGAAACATATTTTGTTTGAAAAGGAAGTCACACTTTAAAACAAAGACATAGAACATTAGGGCTAGATCAGCCTTCTATTGGCTTCTGCAGCAAATTCCATAATCTTTCAAATAATTTTAGGAATGTGTAATATTAATCACCCTGCTTGTTTCAGAATCAAATCTGTTGATGTCTTGCGTTATAAGCTCTTACTGCTGAAACATTAACTAAACAAAAGAGGTGATCAGGATAGTCCTGAAAACATTAACATAACTATTGTCCAGTTTCTTCTTTATTATATAAATTAAATCAGTATTTAAAAGAACATCTTTTCTCAACATTTTGTGCTTGTGTGTGTTCTAATTTAGAAAAAGTGATGGGTGACCTGAAATTCAAGTGTTTAAATAATTGTGATTTTATAATAAAATGTCACTACCAAAAAATGAGTATTTCCCATATCAGATACGTTTCTTTTAAATCAGGGTCATCCTGGCAAAGAGGGTCAGTCTGGAGATAAAGGTGCATTGGTGAGTTTTAAAACTTTTCCATTTATTTATGTAGCTTTCAAGAAAACCTTTGGCAAGTTTTTCAGCTTTATGACACATTGTTGCTCCAAGAACTGTTTAGGAAGATATTTGAAAACTCATGGCACATTCAAAGCATCTGTGTAGAGAAAAAAATACTTATTATATTCTAAATATTATAGAAATTCTAAATAATATAGAGATTAAACTTTGAAAGTAAAACTGATTGTGGAGTTGACAGAATGGCAGTCAATGGAAGTTGCATGCGTTTCATATAAATAACTTGTGAATAGTTTCAGTTTACAGTTCCATTGTATGGAGTACCCACGAGGGCTCTTCGGAACCTTGTACAAATGCTTGCAAGTTCATTGTATTTTTTAGGTCACCTTCAAGTCAGTTGCAGTGAGAAGTAATTTCTTTATTTCTTTATGAAGCACTGAGGAGTCTTGGGGCTCTTTACAGCATTCTGCTTGCTCAGCATTGACCTTCATTTATCCAGAATAACAACCATTGTAGCACCTGAAATCAGTTTCAGTTGCAGTACTGCTTTCAGTGGCAATACTGAAGCACAGTCTGAATAAATAGCATGAACAAACGGATAGAACAGCTCAGAAAGTACAATTCCACTGAAACCAGCATATTACTATTTGTCCAAAATGTTGTTCTCTTTTAAAGGCTTGTAGATTTTATCCTGATTCCTTGAGAAAATAAAGCTTGCACAGAGCATTTATGTTTTGAAATTACATGTGTATGTGACCATCTTATCAGTTGTTCCTTACTTCTTTTGAATTTACTGATCAGTTTCAGCCAAATTTGATGGCTAATTTTATTTCTCAGAGATGTTAGCAGTCTAGAGGTGTTGTGAGAAGACAGTTGGAAAGGCCTCATTATGGAAAGATCTTACTATCTGTCCATCTCAGACATTGGAGAATCATCAACAAAGCACCTTTAGACACAGATTGGTTTTGTTTGTTGCTTTTTCCAGTGACCATTGTTTCAGATAATTTATATTGTGGATAGATTTTTCTGAAATGTACAAGTAGAACCAAGTTCATATTTCTCTTAATCATTTTATAGTGATATTGAACTTGGCTATTGGTATGTGATAGGACTTTTCTTAGTGGCAGGCAGCCCAGTGTTATTTTGATGTCTCACTCAAGACTGCTGCGTTATAGTGAAAGAACAAAGATAGACTCAGAAGAGAACTGCTTGCTAACCAAGTACTGTACAAACAAAGGTTCTTTACTCCAATGTATTTTAGGGGCCTCCAGGTCCTCAGGGTCCAATTGGCTATCCAGGTCCTCGTGGTGTAAAGGTAAGAGTTAATTACTGGATTTCTGCCTCCACCATTTTTTGAATATGTGCATGTGGGTAATTCTTTATATTCTTTCTTTAGGGAGCTGATGGTGTCCGTGGTCTCAAGGGATCCAAAGGTGAAAAGGTAAATCTGACTTCATTTAACTCCTTTCCCTTTATTCACTGTGTTGTCTTCTGTCTCCTTCACTGCAGCATATTTTCTCTTGCACCAGTGAGTTTATTTTTGCCTTACCATAGGGACATACCAAGCCCACTTCATAAGTCAGTGACCTCCATGGTTATTTACACTGGTACAAAGTGAATATAAAACCTTCAGTTACTAGCATGGCTTAGAATTCTCTTTGCTTCAGTTAAAGTAACTTCTTTCTAAGGTGCTCTTAGAGTAGAGAATTAGACATCCCCTCTCTTGTTAATACTATAGTGGGTACGAAGAAACTTGTGCCTCAGAGAGATTTGTGGTGTCAGTAGTGTTGTTTTATCTGTTTTGATAAAGCTGTAGGCTAGGTTTTGTAGTTTTTTTAATGTACATCTTCGATGGCTTTCTAGGTTCCAGGTGGTTTTGTTCCAGATCTTTGGCTTTGCCAGAGAGTTGGACAGCCCCAGCCAGATGCATATATATGAACACGAAGAAAGCTTTTACATCCTCCCAATACCATTAATTCTGTATACAGAGCTCTTACTAGAGCAAACACCAGCTACTGTGATCTCTACTGACTTCTGATAGTCTGCAGTGGTTAAAGCTACAGCCAGAACTGGTTAAATTCCCACTTTCCTCAGCACTGAGAATGAGACAAATAACAAACACCATCAGTCATACTTCTGACTTTACAGGCAAATTCAGCCTTGAGGCTCTGGTGACTACTGTGCAGATATTTATAGCTATTTCTAAAGCAGAAGTCTCAGTCTTGTTGAAAAGCCTTGATTTCAGCACTAGAGATCTGTCTTTCATGCTCAGATGCCACGAGCTGCTGTACGCTTTCAGGCTTTCCTAAATCACAGTTTGTCTAGTCTGCATATACTCATTTTAGAGTTGCTTGTTAAATCGAAGATAAAAAAGAGTGTGTTTAGTACCTGTGGAAACAGGACAGTTCAAAACCCCAGCTTTTTCTTGTTCCTTATTAAACTATTACTATCCATCTAGGACAAAATACAGGACTTGCATATAAATAAGCTTAATACGTGTGTGTGTATGTGTATGTGTATCAGTGAATACTGATTAACATGATTTCCACAATATTTCTGTGTTGATCTCACAGTTGCAATAAGACACTGAATTCTTATGAATACTTCAAAAGATCACACAAAGACATTTCACAGACTGTCCACACAGTGTTACACTGGCCTTTTTTACTGACATTATTCTGATGCCATTACATGGGGGAAATCACTGTAAGAGACAGAAATAAATACAGTGATCATTTAGGAAAGCCTCTGTAGATCTGGAATGGTCCCAGGAAAAGTCTCCGTAGTAAACCTGATTAGAACTCTAGCTATTTTATTTTTTGTTAGCAGCAGAAGAGGAAATAGAGCATTCAGTTCTCTCTTCCCACGTGGAATAAAATCATCCTCTTGTAGATCTCAATAGCTGGAACCTCGCTGTGAAAGCTGAAGAAGAGTTTCAGTTCATTTGGCAGCCATTTGGACAGTAGCTGGCCTGCGGTCAGTCATTGCTGATATGTTGCAGAGTTTTCTCATTCAGTTATTATTGCCCAGGGCCATAACTGAGCAGCTTCTACAACTAAAGCCTTTTTTTTCATGTATTCTGCACTCTTTTTCACAACTTTCTGAACTTTAAGAAACACCACCCTGAAATTTTAATCTATGCAATAAGGTGACCATATAAAGCTTAGTTTTACCATTTAGAAAGTGTGGGAAACCTGCTTTTAGAAGGCTTTTTAGTATATTTTTCAATGAATCCCAATGGGTTACCTCCTTTTTTTTTTGTGTCTCTTCACCAATTTTGAGCTGTTTACCACAAATCTATTCCTGTCACCCTTTCTAGGGTTATTTGTTGCATGCACTATGACTGCTTCTGAACAAAACCAAAATGGCTTTAGCCTTGCAATCTGTCTCAGTTGCTGACAGGGGAGAAGATAAAGCTTTTTTAAGCACAGGAATGCAAAATGCAAACTTCTTTTTCAAAGTGAGGGTGAAACAGAAAGCCTATCTTGTGGTTTTTTGTTTAGTTGGAGGGGTTTTTTTCAGTAATATGAAGTACAGTATCACTCTTGCCTGGCTTTATTGACAGCCCAGATATTACTCAGCTACTAAGTCAGCAATATTGCTTCAGCATATTAAAAAATACTGAACATTTTACTATGTGCTTTTCATCACAAAGACCTTTGCTCCCAGGACATAATGAAGCATCCAATAAAAACGCAGCCTGGATATTTTAACAGTAGTTGTATGATGAACTCATCCAACTACATACAGTCTAAGAAAGAGCAAACCCAAAGCTGATCAGTTATACTAGAGCAAGTCAGTTGTGAACAACTCCACCGAGCAAGTCTGAAGATTTCTGTTTGTATCTAAACTAACTTCTAATTGCATAAATGAAAGTTCTCAGAGTACCGTCTGCTTCACCTTCAGCATGGAGGCCTATTAAAAGGCTTAGAGTAAATTCGCCGTCAGAATTTACTAGGTAGAAGATAAGTAATTCTCACTAGGAATAACACCAGTGTGAACCTATTTTGCCACTGTATATGGATTCAATCTTAATGGTCATTAGTTTTTCTACTTTCTTTCAATCACGTCATCTAATGAAAGTAGGCAGGGCTGAGTGTTGCCAGATATTGAACTACTATATAGAGATGACTACTTCTTCGTTTAGGTTATGAACACTAATTCCTGTCTTTTTTTTTCTTATTAAGGTGTGATAACCAGCCATTTTTTTTATTCCTTTTCATGGTACTATTAAGACACTAGTTTAAAAGAAAGATTAATTCAAAAGGAGATCCTGTTATCAAGAAGAATAACACTGAATAATTTGCCACCAATTTATTTTAGATAATTGAATGGATCACCTTATTAAATAGAGTGATTATCAAAAAAAGCTTAGGAGTTAAGAAAGAGCTTTGCACGATAATTCATAATAAACCAGAACTGTATTGTCTCTATCTTTAAGCAGATTTTAAACAGCTTTAAACAGCTGTTATTAGAAACTTTTAAATAAAAACTAATTTTGCATAGTGCACTGATACACTTCCTCTGAAATAGCAATAGCCATATTAGATTTGCAGGTGTCTGAACATCTCACTGCAGAATATATTAGCTAAATATATGCCATGATGAATGTATTCTTTTATCTGTGGCAAAAAGAATCCTCTCTATTACTGAAAGTCATTCTATGCATTTCTGCTTTTTTTAGGGTGAAGACGGTTTTCCAGGATTTAAAGGTGACATGGGCCTTAAAGGTGACCGGGTAAGCAGTTATTCATAACCCATATGTTCTTAAAACGTGTCAGTGTTATTATTTTGAAAGGATCAGTGAACAAATAAATGTAGACCAAAAATGAGGTAAGAGCCAGTAGCTTAAATTATTTCTGTTCTCTGTGCATACACAGGTTTGAGCCAGAGGTTTGGTTCTTGTGAGTCAGCAATGGCAGGGTTATAAGGAGGAAGGCAATATCAGTCTTGGATATCCTTTTCACTAAGCTTGTGCCTATGGAATCTCCTTTTCCAGATTCCAAGATCTCTAGTATTTGCCTGAGGAAAACTAATCTATCCAGGATAAAGATGTTTCCATTGCAACATAGCATATTGCAAATGTCTGCCAAAATGAAGTTGATTTAACCCAATGAACACTTCCTTTCATAGGAAGTGTTGTGGAGGTTCTAAAAAAACTTCTCACGAGAGGCTCTTGGCCTTTATCTGTTGTCTGTATACATAAATAACTGGGAAGATGGTATCCATGTTAGTACTTAAATATAGACATGCTTCTTTCTATCGACTGTCAGAGTGCCTTCAGAAGAATTTAGGGAAGAGAAAACAAGAATACACTGTTTCCAGATGTAGCTCTCTTCAGGCAAAGCGACTGGGCTCTTAGACTCTTGAAAGTCATATGCAGTGCCTAATTTTTGTACATATATCCATTTATATAATGAACATACACAGTGGTATTTTCCTCATTGGAAATTTGGCAGGGTTTTGAGCAACCTGATCTTGTTGAAGATGTCTCTCTGCATTGCAGGAGGGTTGGACTGAATGATCCTTATAGGTCCCTTCCAACCCAAACCATTCTATGATTCTGTAATTCTAATCTTTATCTACGTTTACTGAAAACTTATTTTCAAGTAATCATAGGTAGTCACTTTAATATATGCACAAAGGCAATTGTTCCATATTTATAATGTTGTATGTTTTAGGGAGAAATTGGTCAGCCAGGTCCACGAGGAGAAGATGGTCCAGAAGGTCCTAAAGGTAGAGCAGGTCCATCTGGGGACCCAGGTGCTGCTGGCCCAGCTGGAGAAAAGGTCAGTAGTCAGATACCAACTAAACAAACATGTAATGGTGATAGGTGCTTTATATATATAAAGCATATATATATAACATATATATAACATACATAGAACATGTATGTTCATCACTAAAAAACCAAGCTTCCATATCTGCAAAATCTTTAGCTACCTAATGGTAGATTTTAGGCAATACTACTACAGCAGATCACTGGAGTTCACATTTGAACAAGTACTGGGAATCACTAGTATTATTTGTAAGTATACAGAAAGGCATTTTAGGACTTCATCAGCACATAAGGCAGCTAAATCCTTACCCCAAATTACATGCAGTGAATGCCAGCTAAGGGAAACATGATTCAAAGAAAATAGTTGGGCACAAAGGAGGATAAAGATACTGCTGGTGAGTGAATTAATATTCAGTCATATTATGACAAATTGTAACCTGAAGATTGCTTTAAACAAAATAAAAATAAAAAAAAAAAAGGTTGGAAAAAAGTGAAAGGGGCTGTTAAAAAGGATGGTGGTGTGAAATATAGGAGTGGACAAGCTCAAAGATAAGTACAAATCTCCCCAGAATCCTGACCTCAACAAAAACTACTGGAGACTAATGTAGAGGAGGAAAAGAGGCTGAGGAATGCGTGTGCAGGTGCCATATCTCACTGTGTGACAGCATCAGAAAAGAAAGGCAATTTCAGCAGTGGAATACTGGATAACTAGGAAAGAATGGTAAAATAAAACAAAAGTGGTGGTTCAGAAATGCATATACTATATTTCACTAAAGTGAGAACATAGTGAAGAAAATATTTCCCTTAATTTTATTTTTTTTTGTTTAACTGTGGCTTTAATGCTAGTTCTGTCTTGAAAAGAATAGGACAGGAGGTGCATTTTACATTTCTTTCTCAGTTTTGCTGTCTTTGAAATAGGAACAGTTACTATTTTGCAGCAATAGACCATATGACATCATGATTGATTGTTCTGTCTTTTTATCTATATACAGTCTTTGAAAGTATACACTGAAATCTTAGTAATTATTTGGTACCACTAAAAAGATAATAAGATTCACAGTTAAGAACAGTTAAGTTAAGCAAACTTGGGAACAAACTCTCTTTTCATCAAAAGCTGCTACTTTTTGCAAGTATGTCATTAATAGTACTTTAGAAAGATACTAGGGTTATAATGTGAGCATAATGTCATTCATAAACTCTTAGAGAAGTATATAACCAAAAACTCACTTCACTCATTAAAAAAAAAGATAAAAAGATTTATTCTTAGGTTTACTTAACTATTGCAAATTACGAATCAGTGCTCTCCACAGTTTTGCAAGATATCTCAGCAGCTCTTAAGTCATTGAATTGATTCATTAGGTCATGAATCAAAGAACATATAAAAAACTATTCTCCTATCTGAATTCAGCCTGAGTTCACACCAGAAAGCCAGTGTACTCAGTTTTAACTAGATCAGCAAAACAATCCACAATATTAAGGGTCATATTATACATATTAAACAATACTAAGGGTCATACTATCTTTACTCACAACATATTTGTATTCTCCAGAAAGAACTGTACATTTCATGGCAATGATTGTTTTCTGTATCACTGAGCTGACAAAAATGTAAGGATATTAGGAATCTTACAGAAATGTGTATAGTTGTCATGATGTCTGCAGAATAATTAACTAAGAACATCTGCAAAAGACTCTTTCTCAAGTCTTTATGACCTAAGTTAAAAACAAAGTAAACCAAATCAAACCCAAATAAACTTTGTTTTATAGTTGTTACTTTTTGAATATGAATTTGAGTTATTTCCAATTCCTGTTACTGAAATTACTCAATGTGAATATAGGTTCATGTTTTCAAGCGTTTCTTCTTCACAGTGACATATATGGGACTCACAGTCTGACAAGTCCAGAATCTGCAGCCCTGTCAGAAAATATTTGAAAAAGATATTGGTGTTGATAGCACTGTTAGCTGGGCTTGGAATTTTATAGCCAAAGTTTTACCTTTTCTACAGATATTTATACCTTTTCTTGCCCATTGAAAGTCAAACATCTACTCTGGATATTCTGTGGATACTTGGTCAGAACAGAGTGTGTCAGGAAAGAGTTCTGTGATGTTGGGTCTGTGATATTTATTTTAGCACAAAGACTAGAATAATCTTTATGAACTCATAGATCTCCCTACAATACTGGAGAAGTGCTTGTAAGACCGGTTATCAATGTTCTATTCCTTTGTCATTCCTATGACTTATTTAAGGAAAAGATCCTACTCTTCCATGGTAATGAAAGTGCCAGAGTAGTCGCTTATTCTCTATGTTCAACTGATCCTGTGATAAGAAAACTCTCTTGCCCAAGTAGGTCTAAGGCTGGATTTGCTTAATAAAGGATATGCCAGGTATGGTGCCAAAAAAATGAGGAACACATCAGAGAAGAGCTTATCATGAAAAAAACCATCCATACCCTCATTCAAAACCTGGCAACTGGGCTTGCTTAATCATAAAATCAGGGACAAAACTTACACTGACTTTGGCAAGAGTTTGATGCACTGTCATGATGCAGAACATTTCATTTATTGTAATGTGTGCAGCTTGTTTCAGTTTCACACAGAACTGGCAGCATTATAATATTTCCATAAATCAAAGCATTCTTTAAAATAATGTCTGTGCCAGACACATGCACTTACATGAATATAATGATATACAACATCTTTATTCATGTGCTGCATTTTTTATGAATAGACATATTTCTTTGGACAAATTTCTTTTCCCATCCAGGTCTCTCCTTCCTCTTTTTCATTATCTAAGGTTACTGCAGATTACCATCTTATATTATATAATCATATCTTTTCTACTGAGATCTTCTCCAAAATGTGATAGTCTGGAGAATAAAAAAAAGACAAAGAGGGAAAAAAAAAAAGAAAGCAGAAAAACATATTAGCTGTGTAAAGCAAATAAGAAATCTTGTCCCAGTATTATTACCAAGAAGGTTCACATCTTTCTTTGTGTGATATTGCAAAGACAAACTGCTTTCCCTTGCTTTTGAAAGTGGCAAACCATCACTCATCTGCTAGAGGTATGAAGAAAACATCTCAGTGGGGCAGGATACTGTATTTCATTTCTAGGTTGTTAATGTCAGTGTTGATCAGACTGCTCACCCTGTTGTCCTTTCTGAACATAGCAAGTTGATAATAGTTGTTGACAAATCTATTGTCCACAGTAGTCAGTGGGGTCTGATTTATCAGTCTCAAATATGTTAGTTCTATTCAAGAAAAAACGGATTCTTCAAATGCCTGTTCATGAAAAATCTGTGGAAAATGGAGCAGCCATTGCACAGTATAAATTACAAAGGATTTCTTCTGACTTAAACCTATTAACACCCTGATTTCTTTAGGGAATATTAATAGTTTAATGACCTCAACCCCACATCTATACGCAGCACTTCAAGGTGGAAAAGGCACCTGGGTATTGACTTCGCTGAACTCGTTCATTGGAGTGGGAATTTTATTTAAATTTGGGGAACTAAGTGAACCAGTGATTAATAGTAAAAGTGATAAATTGAAACAATTGAGTATTATATTCCATGAAGTATCATCACTCTTAAGTTGTGGAAAAAATATTTTCTGTAGAAGTTTGCTGAACACTGAGGAGGATAAAATAAAATCTAATACTGCCTTCTCATTTCAGGGTAAGCTTGGTGTACCCGGATTGCCAGGATATCCAGGAAGACAGGGTCCAAAGGTGAGCTGTAAATGAGCTGTATATCTTGTGCTTTGACATTAGTCACGAGAGCAGCTATTTTCTTTGTGGTTGGGGAAACAGAGTGTGGGCATCAAAGCATGGGCCATTTTTCACATTTTCTTTCTTGGCAATCATGTTCTGAAGTAAAATCTTCACAAACATTGGATTCCCTAAGGCAGGCTTTTTAAGGAGCACTATCTTTCCTTTTAACTAGACTGCCTTCAAACCTTTGCCAGCCTCTCATGAGTTGTGTTTTTGTGTGAACATCAGACTGGTGTGCATTGAACAACAATTGGAAAGCAAAAGAACTGCTGATATGTCTGAAAGAGAGTGAGCACTCTCTTGACCATTAAATGGATGCCAATATTGATGGGAATGGTACAAGGATTCCATTTGCTGGAATTACTGCTTTTTCCAAAGAAGCAGCCATATTTCTTTGAAACATAATTTACGATTTTCATCATGGTTTCCTTTTGCTTCTGTTAAGATGAACATGATAAAGCCCAACCCTTAGTTGATTTATATGCCTACGTAATCCTTAGCTATTTTTTTCTGTTTTGATTGCAACAGAAAACCCTCTCGGGGACTTCTGGTTTAAATGAAGGCTTATGTTTTGAATATATTTTCATGAAACATATTTTGAAGAAGGTCATCCCTTACACAGCTTTAGGCAGTGGACATGCTAAATGAATTGCAAGCTCTCTTCTCTCTGATTAGCAAGAAAATAAAAACTGGAATAAAAGCATAATTCTGTAGACATTTCCCAGTGTAGAGGAGGTCATTAGGGACAGATTG